TTGTTTCCTGTTGCAGGTGAAGTAATTTTCAGGAAAAAAGAAGAACTGGACAAAATTGTTTCAGCATTCAACATACAACTTGACAATCCCGTGACAATTCTGAATCGGGAAGATGTCCGGGAATTCCTAAACAGTAGCAGTTCTCAGAAGTACAAATTCTTTATGGAAGCAAGGAAGGTAGGACATGTGCAGAGTCGATGTCACATAAACGAAAGGTCACTACCATTTTAAACTCTAAGAAAGAGGTTGTTATTCTGTTCAAATGTTGATTAATGTTTACAATAGAATGAGTTTTGTTACAACTTTTTTACAATTCAGATGGCTGTCATTTCCTCTTTAAATGATTAAATTGTGTAATGCACTTATTTGCATCTGCGCTGTAGTGAATGCATATCAGACTGAACAGCAGTACCAGTTTTATTTTATTCAGACAAATTTACAATTAACTTGGCTTGAGATCCCAATTTTCTGTCGATGTTGATCTTGCTAGTTGTAATGCCATGTGGGTACCTTTTGTCTCGGAGGAACATACTGGAGGAAAGATGTTCTTCCATGACTTTGATACTCACCTGTTCTCTGTGAGAAACTCGAACTTCATCCCCACTTTCTGTTTATCCTTTCGGGAAATACGCCGTTGGCGACGGATTTTGTGGAAGTCACTTGCTTTGAAAATTATATTTTTATTTGTTTGTGGTTTATTTTTCGCCACTGTCATTAGCTACTAGTTAAGACTTTATGGCATTAGATGATATATAATGGATGGTAATTTAAGGTACTGACCCAGGATGTGCCTGGAGGGACTGAGGGAAGTCTCAGGATAATAGGTCTCCAGGCTGAAATTTGAACCAGGGACCTCCTGTGTATAAAGCACATGGTAACTACACTGCTGCAATGGTTGTTTGTTTTATGCTGTGTTTATTCCAGAAAAATTACTACTCATTTACTATTAAAAATTGTAATACTCAGGGGAAGTAAAAGAAGGCAGGGAAATTTTGTATTGTATGTAAGGAAGCCAGGGTCCACCAACTGAAGAAGAATAAGATTGTATTTGAATGTTTTATATTTGTGCAGATTGTAATGTGCAAGCAGCAAGAAATCAGGTGACTTGTCCTCTAGGTTATGGTAGAAATTTACCAACGTTTCGGAGGCATTAAGCGCCTCTGCGATGTAGGCGAGTTTCAACCAGACTACACATTGCAACATTGCATCAACTTCATATTTATCGTGCTTGCTTACATTTTGTTAAATCTTTGTAATAGTATGAGTTACACTTGTAAATTTTGCACTGGAAGTTGCAACATCAAGTTTTGATGTAAGTGAAAGTAATAAACTCGGTGTCATTTGCAATCAATGATTAAGTGCCACTTCTGTGCAACTCCTTTGGTGTTGTGGTACTATTAAATGACAAATGCACATTTTTTAAAAAATGCTACTTTCATTTGAGTGAGAAATCAGACTTTGGAAGCTGCTGGCAGGGGCACAGTGGTTATGGATCAATTGTTACTGATTCCAGACAACTGACATCACAGACATTGGACCATCACTGTTACGCTGTGCATACATTTCTTAGCTCGTTAAACATTTGTTTAAGTTGTTAAATATGAATTCATGAAGCCGTTGTTGTTAATCCGTAAATATTGGTCTTGTGGGTTGTAAATCCATGTGGATTTGTATGTAAATACCAACATTCCTGAGGAACGTCCTGCTTCCATCTTTAGGGCTGAAAATATCGAGGCAGTATGTTCCTCTGAATTGTTGATATTTGTTACGTGAGTAGTATGAATCCTAGTAGCTGTGGCTAATAATTTTTCGCTGGATAAGGTGAAAATGCAGCTGTTCAGGTACTCCTGCCCTACCAGGTATTTTGATTTGCGTTTTTGAAGACTGTAGTAGCTGTTGTCTAATGTTACAGGAATTTGAACTGTTTCTTTTGTGGTTATTTAGTTTCTGTTTTGTATGTTTCAGGATCTAGAAAACATGATCGAACCACGTGATATGATTGATTTGCAAGTGAAGTCCCTTTTCGAGAGTTTGCTCCAAGGGTGCGGACGCAAAGTAAGAATCAGAACATTTCTCTAAAACAGTAGTTCTCAACTTTTCTGTTTTATGGACAAGTAGTCTCTCTCAAATCCAACGTATTGTCAGACGTGTGGTGGGATGATATTTAATTTTAAGTGAAAAATCAATAGAAGTAAATTAAGTCGTATGTAGGCAAAAGTGTTTGGGGTTTGACAGTGAAAGCTGAATCAGATGTTTGATGTTTGTGGCCTCTTATGTGTTCTGTTAACTATGTTTTTAATTTGTAATGTGTTTGTGTCTCCTCAGAGACTTTGATTTTGGCAAATGTTGATTGCAGGGTGAAATTAAGATTGATCACCAAAAACAGACATTGGAAGTGAAAGTGTCGTCTATGAATGACCCTCATGTAGAAGACATCATGCCTACAGGAGATTGTTCATACGCCATTGTTTGTTTAATCATGGCCCTTTGGGAAGCTATTAAGCCACCTTTCTATATCTTGGATGGATTTTATTTCTCTGCCTATGAATGACCCTCATGTAGAAGACATCATGCCTACAGGAGATTGTTCATACGCCATTGTTCTTGTTTTCTGTTACCTAGAAATTAGTTTGTGGTACTTGGTACAGGCATTGTGCCAATTCTGCCTTGAATGATTGTTTGTGGCTTTCAGTTTCTCATTCATTTATACCTTCTCGTCTTCATGGATTAAGTATCTTAATGCCTTTATCAGCCTCATCACCTTGCCAGCATCTCCCTGGTTCCCTTGTAACTCTGCCTTGTTTGTTTCAATTCTGCGCTGTATCTGTTACACCTTATCGATTTTTGTACCATATTTTACAATTTATTTGCCCAGTATTTTGCATATTTTCAAATGTGTATGGCCAACAGAATTGTGTGATGATGTTAATGTATTTATTTTGACAGAATCATTGTACATAAATCCCTTCTAGTTTGCTTTTCACTCTGAATTCATGAGTCACAAATTCATAGTCGGAATACATTTCTAACTTTAGCGTGTGACTGTATACACCATATTTTAATTTTAATTTTAATATAGTGATTTCCACAAAGACTGAGGTATCGTAGACATAATCCTCAAATATGACCTGTGCCATGCATGGTATTCAGAGTAAATTGTATGAGAACTGTAAGCTACGCCGTCACCAGACGACACGTAGAACGAATAAATAGGCCACATGATTTATAGGAAGCAGAGCAGGCTTTGTATAAATGTTATCCTTACATTGGCATTTCATAGGTGATTTTGTAAGTCCTTGTTTTAAGGTTTTTGTTGCTTCTTTAGTTAAATATTTTATATTTCAGGATATGATGAATCATCAAAGGATCATCGAACCATCCCCGACAGAAGACAGACTTCCAGTTTATCTTCCTCACCGCACAACGCGTATCCGCCATTCAGTCCCATGGGGATGTTACAATACACAGGTACTAAATAAACTAAGAGCAAGATAGAATACTAAGCCTCTTCTCTGTATCAACCACGTTCATCTTCAGTGTCTGGTTGGGTTGGAGGGTTCTTGGAATATTTAATCTTTTTTGCTGTTACATTTGGTGAAAAGTTTGAAGTTGGATAGGATGTTGTGTGTGCGCATACGTGTGCCTGCATGTGTGCACATTAATGCTTTATATTGCATAAATTATACTTGCTATTCTGTGAGTGGTAAATCTTTTCCAGCCCCTGCAATGCCATTTTAAGAGTTTTAAAAGTT